AAAGAAGTGAACTTTTTCAGCCTTCCAAGTTTGTCTGTTTATTATTTTTATTTATAGTTTTTGTAATGTGTATTATGATAGACTACGGAATTATAAGCAAAAGTAATGAACAAAGGCCATACCATACAGATATTTCTGACTTGGTTAACACCTTTTTGACGAATCATAAAGATATGGCAACATCCTGCCGACATGGATGACCTGCTCAAAAACATTACATGCATATATTACCGGTACTCTGATTACATTGATATATATCATGAATATATAATGAAAATACTGATTGATACAGTTATACATCCATGTATGTCAGACATGCAGAAATAAAACGTTAATAATGCCTCAAAGAAATTAATCTAAAATATTTTCAAATGAAGTGACACAATTTGAACCCATAGAAATGCAACCTCTCCATTCTAGAGGCAAGTCAGAGAGGTCAACTAAACTATCATTTATAAAATTTTCAAATTTGATGGAAACTCCCTGAGTTGCTGTAAAAGGGCAGAGCAGAAGAATGTTGCTAAGGGACTGTTCATAATTTATGGGTGGGGACTGGGGGTGGGGTGGTAGTGATGATGACTTTTATGGAGAAGCATGTACAATGTAAGTGACCCCCTGCATGTCATGTACAAAATCAATGCCCCCATAATATTTTTTTAATGTTTTCATGTACAAAATACTGAGGACACCCCTACCTCCCCAGAACAAAATGGGTGCCCCCTTAAATCATCACCCCTCCCACACACCCCTTAGCCATAAATTATGACCGCCCCTAAAATCAATAGACATTAAGGCACCATACACAAGAATGTTGACAATACAAAGTAAGAAAGTCATTGTTATGTTCCTCTATTCACTAACTAAATAATATTATATAAATACTTGAGTTGACTTTACTGACTAAAAATATATTATCACTACCTTCCAGCTATAGACCCTTAATCTTACTGCCTATTAACCAAACTTATCTCGACTCAAACATTCAGTCAAACATTCAAATGTCAACAAACACAGCAACTTAACCAACATTTGATAAATTTCACATTTTCTGCACAGAAACCTTGGACAAAATTCTAAATTTGTCAACATCAGATACCCGTGAAAGTCCGGGTTAGAATTGATCTTCAGTAACCCATGCTTGTAAGAGGCGACTAAATGGATCGGGTGGTCAGGCTCGCTGACTTGGTTGACACATGTCATCGGTTCCCAATTGCGTAGTGATGCTCATGCTGTTGATCACTGGATTGTCTGGTCCAGACTCGATTAATTACAGACTGCCACCATATAGCTGGAATATTGCTGAGTGCAGAGTAAAACTAAACTCACTCACTCAAAATCAGATTTAGACAAATGCAGGTAGAATCGTCAGTAAGAACATGATTCGAGATGATAATTCAGCTTCATTGGTCCAGAGATTTCTACATTGATACTGCTGGAATATTGCTAACAGCTGTGTAAAACTAAACTCACTCACTCTGCTGGGGTTATATTTTGTCATGTCAGTCAGAGTACATTACTGTATACACTTTCCTCATCGCTGACAAAGTTTAATACTAAACTTTTAAAGGTGAGGTGAGGTGAGGTGAGGTGAGGTGAGGTGAGGTGAGGTTAAATTGGGTTTAACGTCATGCTTGAGAATATTTCGCTCATATGACGACGTGCATGCGTGTGTATGTGTATGTGTGGCTGCTTGTACTAGCCCAGACTGAAGCTGGTTTTATAGTGCTAGCCCACTGAGATACCATGCCGCAGTGAAGCATGAATACCCCACTCAGACACATTATACCGACTCTGAGCCGACCAGTCCTTGTTGTACCCATTAATGCCGAACGCCAGGCAGGGACCAACAAGTACCATATTTTAACGTCTTTTGGTATGACGCGGTCGGGGATTGAACCCGTGACCTTCCGCTCTCCGGGCGGATGCTCTAACCACTACACCACGGAGGCAGTAAAACTTTTAAAGAACCCCAAAATGAACATCATATAACACTGACATAAAATTAGAGTCATAAACTTCATGTCTTCCTGTCCTTACTTAATGCTTAGTCCCAGATATAAAGTAATCATACTTAATATATATATATACATGTTACAAAATAAATATATCTAGATGGAGCCAAGACCGATGGTTAATATCAGGCATAGGGGGAGACAATCTAGGTTACACAAAACCAAATATTTTCCCACTGACTTCTATAATAACATTATATTATTTGTAAAATCATCATGTGTGATTTTGTCTGGCCTAAAAGAAGCAATAAAAATATAAAAAATGACTACCTCAGCAAGCTCCTTTTCTGAGTACAGGAAGTTAACAGACCAACCCCAGTTCCGCACAAAATGTCAATAGTTTGAGAAAACCTGTGGTCACATTCAGCATAAGTCATCAGGGCTCCAGATAATTTTTCATGATCAGAAGTACATACTTCTTATTGTTTCAATATAGGAGTACTGGAATACAATAAGAGTACATTTAGAGTACTGAATGGAATTTAATTGAGTATCAGTAATCTTGTGTTTCGTTTCATATATTCACCACAACATTGCTATTCTTGTGTAAACAGGTCAATAAACAATAAAGCAATACCTTTTAAGATGTATACGTCTGTAAATGATTCTAAGACCATACACCATTGCTGTGGTGCGTATCTGCTACGTTTCCTAAATTATTTCCTACCATATCGTGCTTATTTCATATCCATACATACGCCGATACGGCCCTTATCTGGAGCCTTGAGTCATCATGTAATATAAAACATGGTCAGTCTTAATTACTGGACGTACATTTAAAAATACAAAAATCTTATACAAAATCCTCCAATCACAGCTGTCACATGATTCAGTCTGCACTGAAGGATCCTTACAAAAAGCGCAAAGTGCTTGTTCAGCTAGAGATTCTGATTTGGTGAAGTATAACCTCTAGAATCATTCTAGGCTTGAGTATGATATGTATTTAAAATCATACTCTGGATGTTTGAGATGCCCTTCATGCAAACATAGGTGTAATTCTCTACGATACATTCAGCCATGTTTGAGGCAGCTGTGGCAGCAATAACTTATTGCATTACTTTGTTGAATCAGGCTTCAGATAACAATGACACAAGAATAGCATACATGAAGGAGACTCGGGATTCATATTACCTTTGTCAAACAGTAACAAAGGATATCATGAATTCATCCTAATTCACATCACCCTGGTCCCAAATAACAACTAGTTGACTAACCTGATACATAACATGACCTGAACCATCACTTAGAAAACAGAATGACATTGGTCAAACAATAACAAATACTTCCCATGCATTTCAGATTCTCTCTTTCAAACAACAACACTTTACTTACAACACAGGATGACATTGGTCAAACAATACGTGCACACCCTCACACCCACACGACACACACACACACACCTATCTTATCCCAGTCAAACAACAACACTTACAACACAGGATTACATTGGTAACAGAAATAGAAAATATTTCCCATAAATTCCAGATTCAAACACCCCTAGCCCCTAGTCTCTGAAATGAACATATTTTACTGAAAAAAGTTCATAGTAAAAAAAAATATATATAATGAAAAGGAGCCCTGAGACTTTCTTCATTTTCAGAAGCTGAGGAAATCTAGACTTGCGTAGGCTTCTTTGGATATATTTACTTCAGGGTCTGCACGACAGACTATCAAACAAGATTCAGTTTATGCTAGTCAAACACTTAAACTCATTCACAAATAATTTCTGAATCAGTTCATATAAGTATATACATACTTATATAAGTATATACATAACCCCTTGGAAACTAGAAGGAAATACATGACCATCTTCTTCAACAATCCCTTTGAAGTTAAATAAAATTCAACATACATCACACACACTAATATAAAGCACATCATAAATTTCACCATTTTTGACACATTATGAATTATCATACACATAATTATTTAGTGTACATTTGAAATACCAATATCAGATATTTACTGGGACAATTTAATTTTTTAAAAGCATATTTCTGATCCCAGGTATTTGATTTTCATCAAATCACCGGGTCCTAGTCAAAAGGGCCTCAAAACAGAAAAGTCAAAAGGGCCGCAAGAAAGTCAAAAGGGCCGCAAGAAAGTCAAAAGGGCCGCAAGAAAGTCAAAAGGGCCGCAAACCCCTAGTCAAAAGGGCTGCATCAAAAAGTCTTAGTCCTATGATCAATCTGAAAACATCGCTGGTTACCCTGTAATTACCCTGTTATCATTTGGAATGTCTTGGAATACAATGTATATGCAAACAATGAAGTGAGCTTCCTGCCATACTGGATAGTGTTTAAACATTCATGTTCCACGTAGGCTGGTAATGAGAGGCCTGTTACATCACACAGTGCTGCGACACATACATTCCTGAATACCGCAAGCATTTAAGAATCACACACAACAACAATGCATCTCTGACTGGTTGTCTTGGTAACAATAAAAAAAACCATCTATACAAACAACAATACACATATTGTTTGGCTAGATGACTTTATCACACATGTATGTATATACTATCCCTGAATCGACAAAAGTTCTCGCAAAATCCCATGTGCAATGCTAAAAACTGCCATCAAGGTATGTAATGTCACTAACGGGGTCTTAGCACTATATAAAAGGAAAGGGATGTAACAAGGTCAACACACCAAGTTTGTTTCAGGGCAAATTCAACAATGCTCACTGTATCAGTCCCATATAAAGTATGCACATATTTCAAGCCAATAGATTTACCTACAAAATGGGACATACAGCACAAAAATTGAAGCAGTACTTTGGGAGCTAGGGTCTTCGGAAGCTTGAAAAATTGTAATTTCTCAATTCCGAGCCAAAATCCCTGCTCAGAATTCGCAGCGGTAACTTACCCATTTTCTTGTTTATTTCACAGTATACACAAATGACATGCACCAAAACATGTTGAACTGATGGCACCTGTCAGCGCACTAGTCTCCATTCTTTCGGAGACACTTACACCTCACTGTCATAATGAGTTTATGTACATTTATTTATCGCAAACAGAATTGTGTCGCGGCCCGTTCGCCATTGACGACCTTGACCCTAACCTGCCCTGCACTGAAAAGAGCAATGGAGCTCATTGGCTATAAATAAAATATGCCTCATCAGATCGCCGAATTTGAGTAAATAAATAGCTCGTGAGCTAGCAAGTTAAACAATTACAAAAAATGTTCATTTCTTAACATGCCCTGCCTTCTGATGTCTTTTCAGATCCTTGAGAATGATCTTCACGGCATTCTCCCCAGATTCCATGGCTCCGTGTGTAGTCGTGAAGTGGTGCTTGCTGCACGCCTCCCCAGCAAACAGCAAAACTGGGTCCTGTAGAACATGAGTGAGTGAGTGAGTGAATGGGTGAGTGAGTGGGTCGGTGGTTGCTTGGATGAGAGAGTGAGAGAGTGGGTGGGTGGTTGAGTTAATGGGTGAATGAGAGTGAATGAGTGATTAAGCAAGAGAGTGAGAGAGTAGATGGGTGGTTGAGTTAATGGGTGAATGAGAGTGAGTGAGTGAATGAGTGAGATAACACAAGAGTGAGTGGGTGGTTGAGTTAATGGAGCGGGTGAGTGAGTGAGTGAATGAATGAGTGAGATAACACAAGAGTGGGTGGGTGGTTGGGTTAATGGGTGGGTGAGTGAGTGAGTGAATGAGTGAGATAAAACAAGAGTGAGAGAATGGGTGGGTGGTTGAGTTAATTGGTGGGTGGGTGAGTGAGTGAATGAGTGAGAGAGTGGGTGGGTAGGTGGTTGAGTTAATGGGTGGGTGGGTGAGTGAGTGAGTGAGATAAAATGAGTGAGAGAGTGGGTTGGTGGGTGGTTGAGTTAATGGGTGGGTGAGTGAGTGAGTGAGTGAATGAGTGAGATAAAACAAGAGAGTGAGAGAGTGGGTGGGTGGTTGAGTTAATAGGTGGGTGGGTGAGTGAGTGAATGAGTGAGATAAAGCAAGAGAGTGAGAGAGTGGGTGGGTGGTTGAGTTAATGGGTGGGTGGGTGAGTGAGAGTGAGTGAATGAGTGAGATGAAGCAAGAGAGTGAGTGAGTGAGTGAGTTTAGTTTAACGCAGCACTCAGCAATATTCCAGCTATATGGCGGCGGTCTGTAAATAATCGAGTCTAGACCAGACAATCCAGTGATCAACAGCATGAACATCGATCTGCGCAATTGGGAACCGATGACATGTGAAGCAAGAGAGTGAGAGAGTGGGTGGGTGGTTGAGTTAATGGGTGGGTGGGTGAGTGAGAGTGAGTGAATGAGTGAGATAAAGCAAGAGAGTGAGAGAGTGGGTGGGTGGTTGAGTTAATGGGTGGGTGAGTGAGTGAGGGAATGAGTGAGATAAAGCAAGAGAGCAAGTGAGTGAGTGAGCAAGCCTGCAGACTGCCATATTCCAGCTACAGTCAGGCCGTGTTAATCCGAACACGTTTGGATAGTGAAACGTACGGACTACTGAAATGAACTATTATGTACACCACTACAGTGGAGTTCCTTCCCTTTGACATACCGAGACAAGAACATAGGAATGTATACATGTACATGTATCAAATGACTTTATTACAGTTTGTATAACAATCAAACGGCTTAATTTGATGGTGCCAGTTGCGTTTGGACAAGTGGGACCTATTAATAGATTAAAATCACAAACTAACTACATGTTCAACTCAGAAGTGTCACCTCACTTATCAATTACCACTGAAGTTTACCGATGAAGATCAGCGCTAGTCAATGGTGCTCACGAGGTAAGGGGATTATCCGAACCTTTACGATGTACTGCTGGATTAATGAAGCAAAACCAAGTGTAGTTAGCTAATACGTTACCACTAATTAATGTCTGGACCAGGAGAGTGAAGCACCGGATTAATTAATCAACAGTTAATGAGTTTACACAGTAAACAAGATTGGTTACAGCCAGCTACCGTTTGGATATCGCAGGAATCGGATTATCGGGATCCGGACTAATGGGGCCTGACTGTATTTCAGTGAAGCCCAGAAATAATCAACTATGGACCAGACATACTGATGACCTAAACCAAGATCAGCATTCAAGGTCATCAATGACATTGTAGGGCCTGCCCAAAGAATACCCAAGGCACTGAAGGTCACATAATAACTTGGTTTAAAATTCCCAAGAAGGGGTGAGACAATTTGCTGTGTAGAGTTATTTCCCTTGGGCAGGACAGATACCTATGGCTGCTTGAATGTTGGTTCCCACTCATTTTGTTCCAGGTTTCACCAGTATGGTAATTATCAAAGACATGCATCACTTTGGGACTTTCTTCGATCATCATGCTGACAATGTGTGATAGAACTGGAATATTTTACAAGACGATGTTAAACCAAATGTAATCTCATTCACTTACTAACTCACTCACTGACATGCTCACTCACTACAACAGAACTCTACCAAGGTGAGTGAGTGAGTGAGACCACACAATCCAGTGATCAACAACTCTGCCAAGGACCAACATTGAGCGTGAAGCTGGGATATAAAACATATGGTCATAAGATCCTGTCACATCTAAGGGATACAACCAATGAATAGAAACCAGTTAAAGTTAAGCAATGTTGGTTGCGGACAGTCCTTAGATGGGTGACTCTGTTTGCAGCTTGATTCCCGAGATCCTGCGAGTTTCTAGGACTTCAGTCCTGTCCCACTACGAAGCACATGGGATACATGTGGTCTCACCGTAGGCAAGTGAGTTTGTTCAAAATTGCCTCTGTTCACCCAGTAGTGAATGGGTACCTGGTGGGATAGGTCACATGACTGTTAACCTTCTACCACCTCACAGGCAACATGGGTTATCCGGGGTAATACTGCATCAGCACTTAAGCAAGTACAAGTGTATGGAAACCAGAGTTTTATAAATGGTCACTATTATTATGGAAGTTCAGCACCAATGGTCCAGGACTTTTCGAATGGATGTTAAGAGACTTTCAGTCAGGAGAGTACAATAGACATAGGTAGCATGTGAGACAGATGCTACATTCTTGTGTGGCAGATCCTGAACAAAATGATTCATCTACATACTTACTGAAGAGAAACAAATTTTTGGGATTGACAACTTCTTTATTACAATAATACATTTCGGTGTAGATGCTAACACTCTTATCTATTGCAACAAAGAAGCTTTCAATAACCCAAATTTGTTCCCCTTCATCAAACCAGCTTTATATGACACTTAAAGAAGTTACTTCCGGGTAAGTGAGTGAGTGATGAGTGAGTGGTGGGTGAGTGAGTGAGTGATGAGTGAGTGGTGGGTGAGTGAGTGATGAGTGAGGTGGGTGAGTGAGTGAGTGATGAGTGGTGGTGAGTGAGTGATGAGTGAGTGGTGGGTGAGTGAGTGATGAGTGGTGGTGGGTGAGTGAGTGAGTGATGAGTGAGTGGTGAGTGAGTGAGTGAGTGATGAGTGAGTGGTGGGTGAGTGAGTGATGAGTGATTGGTGGGTGAGTGAGTGAGTGATGAGTGAGTGGTGAGTGAGTGATGAGTGAGTGGTGGGTGAGTGAGTGATGAGTGAGTGGTGGGTGAGTGAGTGATGAGTGATTGGTGGGTGAGTGAGTGAGTGATGAGTGAGTGGTGAGTGAGTGATGAGTGAGTGGGTGAGTGAGTGAGTGATGAGTGGTGGTGGGTGAGTGAGTGATGAGTGATTGGTGGGTGGTGAGTGAGTGATGAGTGAGTGGTGAGTGAGTGATGAGTGAGTGGTGGGTGAGTGAGTGATGAGTGAGTGGTGGGTGAGTGAGTGATGAGTGATGAGTGAGTGGTGAGTGAGTGAGTGAGTGAGTGAGTGGTGAGTGAATTACTTGAACATTATTTCTATTATATCATGGATGAATTGAAAACTTACAGAGGGAGGAAATCATGAAATGATGCACATCTTTCACTCTTTGACACTTTGGTAAAACTCACAGGCATGGACATTGTGTTTACAATAAATTCAACAAATAGAATCAGAGTGAATCTTGGATCCAAACCTACTCTCAATGAGTCTCATAGACTTCTGGCACACCTGAGGGAGAAACACTATATGGCTAATTGTAATGCCTTAGGGACAAACAACTTCAAATTTAGGGCCTGAAATTTTGAATGGAGACTTCCAGACTTTTTCAGCCCCCTACCTAAGTTTCAATTGTTTGGTTTCTCAGAGAACTGGGCCATTGTGCTCTTTGCACATGGGAAGTATATACAGTATATCAGACTTACTTCTCTAGAAGGCAATGGTTCCCTAAGGATGTCATGGTCTGTTAACGAGAGATCAGGTGTGATGACACTGTACGACCCTCTGAAGAATGGGTTGGTGTGCCAGTATGTCCTGGATGAACAGGGAAGAATACGTGAACCAGGTCATGTGACAGCATTAACACAGGGTATGTTAGAATAGAGCAGCATTAACACAGGGTATGTTAGAATAGAACAGCATTAACACAGGGTACATCAGAATAGAACAGCATTAACAAAGGGTACATTAGAATAGAACAGCATTAACACAGGGTACATTAGAATAGAACAGCATTAACACAGGGTACATTAGAATAGAACAGCTTTAACACAGGGTACATTAGCATAGAACAGCATTAACACAGGGTACATTAGAATAGAACAGCATTAACATAAGGTGCATTAGAATAGAACAGCATTAACACAGGGTACATTAGAATAGAACAGCATTAACACAGGGTACATTAGAATAGAACAGCATTAACACAGGGTACATTAGAATAGAACAGCATTAACACAGGGTACATTAGAATAGAACAGCATTTAACACAGGGTACATTAGAATAGAACAGCATTAACACAGGGTACATTAGCATAGAACAGCATTAACACAGGGTACATTAGAATAGAACAGCATTAACACAAGGTACATTAGAATAGAACAGCTTTAACACAGGGTACATTAGCATAGAACAGCATTAACACAGAGTACATTAGAATAGAACAGCATTAACACAGGGTACATTAGAATAGAACAGCATTAACACAGGGTACATTAGAATAGAACAGCATTAACACAGGGTACATTAGAATAGAACAGCATTAACACAGGGTACATTAGAATAGAACAGCATTAACACAGGGTACATTAGAATAGAACAGCATTAACACAGGTACATTAGAATAGAACAGCATTAACACAGGGTACATTAGAATAGAACAGCATTAACACAGGGTACATTAGAATAACAGCATTAACAGGGTACATTAGAATAACAGCATTAAGAACAGCATTAACACAATAGGGCACATTAGAATAGAACAGCATTAACACAGGTACATTAGAATAGAACAGCATTAACACAGGGTACATTAGAATAGAACAGCATTAACACATGGTACATTAGCAATAGAACAGCATTAACACAGGGTACATTAGAATTTAACACAGGGTACATTAGGGTACATTTATAAGAATCCAGAACAGCATTAACACAGGGTACATTAGAATAGAACAGCATTAACACAGGGTACATTAGAATAGGAACAGCATTAACACAGGGTACATTAAGAATAGAACAGCATTAACACAGGGTACATTAGAATAGAACAGCATTAACACAGGGTAGAGAAAAGAAAAGCATTAGAAAGAACAGCATTAACACAGGGTACATTTGAATAGAACAGCATTAACACAGGGTACATTAGAATAGAACAGCATTAACACAGGGTACATTAGAATAGAACAGCATTAACACAGGGGACACAAAACTGGACTTCACACACTGTACCCATTTGGGGAATGAAACCCGGGTCTTCGGTTTGACGAGTGAACACTTTAACCATGCACGCACGCACGCACACACACACACACACCAAAAAACAGTGAAAGAATGCTTTAACCAACAGCCTCCCATTCCTCTGGGACTCGAAGGATACACAAACCCACTTATACCTGAGAATGCGTTTGGGCGATGGTATGTTGAGCTTGGTGAAGATGGTCAGTAGTTCTACACAGACGTCCATCACCTCCTGGTCATCCAGTGCCTCCATGATCTTGGCCTTCTCCCCGCTCACAAACACTTCCAGCACTGTCGGCTGGTTGATGACACAGCCAAACCCCTGCATCTTATTGTACCACATTTCCCCTGACTGCAGTAAATCAGAAAAAAAATAAGTAATTACCGGGTATATAACTTCTTGAAATCACACAGATATATTATTTGGAAAGACTTCTGGCATGAAAAAGTACAGGATAATCATTGTTTAATTTTCTTTATCATAAAACTATGAAGGAAAATTGTTTTGACGAAATCATACAACTTGTTGAAATCATGTGGTTAAAACAACTCCCAAACAATATTATTACTTGCAAAGACTTCTGGCATGATAAAGTACAGGGTAATCATTGCTTTTATAACCTAATTTACTACAGCCAAAATGGAAGTAAATATTTTTTGCTGATGTTTTAGCCAAGAAACAAATTTTCTGCTTGACATGCAGGCTCTCCTAAAATCAAACAGCAGACATTAGGGCTGGGATGGGTAACCCGGATACCCGGGATGGGTGGGTTATGAGTTGGACCCGGGTACCCGACTCAATACCCGGACCCGTTATGATCATGTGACTAATAGATTAAACAATGTAATATGTTATTCTTTCATGATTAAAAGGTTGTATTGTCTTTGAAGATTTAGACATAATTTACAGTCACTTCTTTTGAATATAATACATGATTAAGATATTGAAAACCTCCGAGCTGAAGAATATATTGCCATTTCTTGCAAATTTGATGTCAGGAATTAACATAACTGGTATCCCGGTAGGGTAATAGGTGGTTGGGTACCCAGGTAGAAAATTTGGACCTGTCCCAGCCCTAGTTGACATATTTGCTTATTTTACATTAGTGCCTTGTTTCATGAGAAAAAAAACAAAACATAGACTGTCTCTTACCAAACTCCATAAGCTAACGAAACCAAATTTAACATTCAGAATTTAAGGGGAAATGACCAGTGGCCATCTTTAAAATTATCAATCATAGTCTCGGCACCAAAAGTCTCTGGGTTGCAAATACTGTACATGTGTGATATGCTTCTCCAAAAACACTTGGTCTAAAAAGTGGGCTCAAAATAATTTAAGCTTATTTAAGCTTTGAATACACAAGTGGTCAAATGAAGTGGTCAAATATAACATATGTTATATTTGGGATTACACTTTCTCAGTTACAGATTGTAGTACTTTTGTTGGGTTGATTCGTATCTTTGATTCAAACCCACACCCCAGAGTCAGGCAGCTAATGGCACCTAGTCTAGTCAGTGGTCTAGACAACCAGTTGTCCAACTCCCTTTTATATGGAAGCTGCGTTGGCTGAGTGGGTTAGATGGCTGACTTTGTGTGCTGGCGATTAGGTGGCTGACTCTGAAGGTGTGGGTTCGAATCCCATTGGGACTCAACCCAACAAAAGTACTAGAATCTGAGATAAAGATAAAGTGTGATCTCAAATATAACATATGTTAAGCTTATTCTTATCGATAACATACCTCAGTTCTCAACTCAGACTTTGCACTCTTCACTGGAACATTGTCCAACCAGAGAAACTGAAAACCGTAACAGTTCTCATCCCAGAATCTAGTCTCCCATTCAAGATAGATCTTGTTCACTGTTCCATATCCCATGTTCTTCAGCACATACTTTTTGTCATCTGGCAAGGGAGGGTCAAACAGAGTTCCCTCCCTTTCTTTCAGAACACCAACAGATGGCGTAATGATGACATAGTCTGCTTTGAAAATTGTGCCATCTTCACATTCCACGATTGAGAGGTCATTGGTAGTAGTTTGGAATTTTTCTTTTGACGTCTGCCAATGAACAGTTTTCACTGGTTTTGATAAGTGAATGGATTTGGATGGAATCTTCTCAATAATAACATCAAGAATAGTTTGGAAGCCATTCTTGAACTCTGCCTCCTGATCTCCATCACAGTCAAAATATTTACCCCATGCTCCTACATGCAACTCATTCAAGGAAGAACATGCATTGTCAATATTTTCAAATTGCTTTTGCCATTCTGCAAAGGCTTTTTGTAAGTTTCTTTCATCTTCAGAATCACCTTTGTTACTCATCATGCAATGTTGAAAACACCTATCAAAATATTCTCCATATGATTTTGGCGTCTGCCCACAAGGAAACAAATCCCTGGCTCTAAAACGTGGCTTTTCTTTCCCGGTGCCACCACAGTCCTCGTCGCTGCTGCTTTCACTGTCGCTGCTGCTATCGCTGTCACTTTCATCATCTGTGCTGAAGAATTCTTCTGCTTCAATGTAGATTTCATCCCAAATCTTTACCATTTTGTTGACAATTGTCTTGTCCACTTCCTCACCCTTGGATGTGAGGAACAAGTAGCCATCAATCTCATCTAGTCTGCTCCTGGTGTTGTTTTCTGCTTTGTCTTCTTCCACAGTCACTAGGTCATGTTCCTTCGCTAGCTTGTAGACACAGTTTCCCTTCAACCCATGGATCCACTGTGCACCAAGGTCAAGGACGCTCTCACCTTCGTAAGGAAAATGTGAAAGACAGAAAAGTCATGAGCTGTGTGAACAGGTTGGGTCCACAGTGGCAGATTTTACTTACTTCTTGTCACTGTTTTGTAATGGGGGGGATCTGGGATCCTGGAGATGTTCTTTTGTAAATGATCTCGAAACACCCAACAATCTTCAATTTCTAACAAGGATCCCTAGAATCATGTGTATTCAAAAACTGCTTGTTCATACAGTTAGCTACTGTTATTGTGGCAGTGTAGTATTTTGTGTAGGAGTGTACCTGTTTTTATGTACATAATATCCATCTTGAAATATGGTTATTATAGCATACTTAGATGTGGTTGCCCTATCTTACAATACAACTGAAGCATGCTCCAGCAAAGCATATCAATCAATGCATGAACACCAACCTTACAATAGCCAAAGCCCTGACCTGCCTCAGTCTTTTGTCTAGCTTATGTAATTATCACACAGTTTAAAGTGGTTGACCTGCTAATTCAGTCACTCTAAAGCATTTGAACAGTAAGCAGCCCCACACTACAGTGAGAGGTTTCAAATGTATCTGGATATCAGCTCACCCGTGTGTATTTCCAAGGTTAGTCCTCCATCTTTACCGTTGTTTATTGTGTTTTAATGTTTTATCAGTATATCACTTTCACATGCATATATGTTTGAAAGGAAAGATTTTTGCCCGTAACCCGTTTTTTATCATTCTATGCCTAAGATGTATAGTAAGAATAGATGGTTTTCAAAGAAAGCCTACCCTAACCCTAAACCTAACATACCGGTAATACTAAATCTAAACCCTAAACATAAAGCCTAACCCCTTGAAATAATCATAATAATTAGAATACATTTCAAGCGGGGGTTACGGGCGGAACACTTACCGTTTGATATGCATACATAGAAGTTTTATTGGTACCATTTTCTGGTAAAGTAGAAATGCTATAGTTTACTTACTACAGTGGAAACCGCCTAAGTAAAGACCACTTAACTAAACAGACCTGATAAGTAAACACTTTTCTTTGGTCCCAGCAAATTTCTTCATTAATTATCACTATTAGAGTCTGGTTAACTAAACTCGGATAAGTAAACAATACCGCTTAACTAAACGTCTTCTCACGGTCCCTGGAAGTAAATTACTTAACAAAAGAGACTGGATAACTAAATTAGCGATCACCACATAATCCGACAGGAGGAACAGTCGTGTCAGTCTCCAGTCAAACAAACATCCTACTTACAGCTCGCTGGCGTCAAGCAGTTGACAATACACTGACAACTGGAGGCCAGCCCTGATAAGTGGTTCATTGTTACATATGCATACATATACATGCATATGGTTGTCATTTGCAGGTTTTTATAAGTTTGGATAAGTAAAATACCTGATAAGTAAACAATTTTGGCGAGTCCCTTGAAATTTTAATTATCAGGTTTCCACTGTATATATATATAGTAGCATTAGGTCGGGGTTACTTCTGACAAAAACCACAAAGCCACTGGGTGTGAGGTGATGGACTTTTGTTACATGTATGCAATAGAAAACGAGCCAGGTTGGTATGACCTGAGCTGCTGCATACAAAGCATGGGCAACACAGCCGGTGGCTACGTCATCTTAGATATGCTCAACACAGTCCAGATCACCATGATCGCGATTCTAATGAATATCAAAACCACAACATGTGCGACGACAACCACATATGATACTGACCAACAGACTAGATGAAATTAACCTTTCAAATAACAGGGTTCAAAAATACCATTGCCCGAAGCCTGGGTGGATTTCTCCGGTCAGTCAAGTAAATGTCCACATTAAACTTTACCATGGTACAGTAATGCCAAACTTTCTGGAATATTTTAATATATCGTATATTATCGTAGATAAGGCCAGACCAATTTTATTTCTTGTTTTACGGATCCAAAGGTCGTTTTTCTTCAAGAATAAGAAAAAAAATAAAAGTTTATTTTCCCCATTGAAAAAATAAAATCCTAATGTTTAATTGGTCAAAAATGTAAATTTACAAGAAAAGTTCTTTTTAGATTGTGTTTTGCCCCATATACACTTCATAAATTGCCCAAAGTAAAATACTTTTAGTATTTAATTATTTTTATGTTTATTTTTCCCCTCCTGCCTTTAGGTTTTCTGAGGACAATAATCCGTAAAACAAGAAATAAAATTGGTCTGGCCTAAGCTGTTTTTTGAAGACCCCCCAAAAAATCAGCCTGTAGAAGGGGGTCGGCTTATCTATGGGTAACATTTTCATCACTTTTTTCTGGTGACCGGTAAGAAAACGACATCGTATCGTTTTGCGTGAATGAACAAGAGAAAACAACTTTGTCAGTGAAGACTTCAAATTTGCAATTACACATCACTAAACAAGATTATTTACCTATTCACAGTGTTCAAAATACCTGCCTGCCCGACTGCTGGGATGGGTTATTTTCAACATGGACTACCAGATTCTCAAATTCACTTGCCCGATGGTCGAGTTAGAATTTAGACATGTATATGAAGATATTTTGTGGGTAGGTAAGTCTTGGTCAGGTCTGGCAAGTTTTACAACTAACCAACCCTGTGATCTGGCTGACATTTTTGGGAGTTTCATACCCCGCTATTCAGTTCTTATTTGTTTTTGCTATACATTGTCTTATATGCAGGGATTAAGATTACCATGTGTATTGTCTCATATAAAGAGCCGGGAATAGCAATCAGCTGTTTACATGTTTCCCGGCTATCTAATTAAAACATACACAATAACATGACGGGATGAATTCTGACAGTGATCGCTAAAATATAATATCTAAAACAATTATTTTACCAAGAGAAATATATCCTAGCTTTGTGTAATTTTAATTACAGGTTCTGCTCTATGAATGTAAAATATGTATAATCAACAGAATGTAGGGAATCTATATCATGACGGGTTCTTCTTAAACCGGTTTGATAATCATCCAAACACACTTAATGTAGCTATTGTATTAACGTAAACATATAGATGTTTTGTAGTGTGAAACAATGTAGTGAGTGAGTGAGTGAGTTTAGTTTTACGCCGCACTCAGCAATATCCCAGCTATATGGCCGCGGTCTGTAATTAATCGAGTCTGGACCAGACAGTCTAGTGATCAACAGCATGAGCATCGATCTGCGCAATTGGGAACCGATGACATGTGTCAACCAAGTCAACGAAACTGACCACCCGATCCCGTTGGTCAAGCATAGTCGCCTTTTACGGCAAGCACATTGGTTGCTGAAGACCTATTTTACCCCGGATCTTCACGGATCTGAAACATTGTACTCACATGTTGGTATGTATACTACCCATCAAAAGTTTAGACTCACTGAAAGCACTCACTATATGTTATGTATATGTATGGTAACACCGAAGATCAATTTCTCCGCTAGCTTGGGGGAACCAACTGCAAACCTTATGCAGATGAATTGCACGAGGATCATGCATCAAATTGCTGAAAAGCATTTGCAAATATCATACATGTGAACTGCTGAGTTTTGGTGCAAAGTTTTGTTAAGAATTCGCCAATTTTCACTAAGTTTCATAATTTAATGAACTCATGACAATAATCTTTTCAACATTACAAATTTGTTTTCCAATACATCAGTTTATGTGTAAACAGTACCTTTTAACAGTACGGAATATTTTGCAAAATTTAGTCTAGAACAGTTGCATGAAGTAAGTGGCTAGATTTACACTAATGAGTCTAAACTTTTGATATGTAGTATATGTGTATGTAGATATATATGGGTAGGTGCATGTGTATATACATGTGTGTAAGTATGTGCATGACATGAAGTAGGTATAATACAATGTTCTAGGTATTATTGTAGTTAGCAAGTAATGACATGCATTAGCACTGACATATATATACTCAGTGCGATTATTGAAGGGTCATGTGTCTTTTGTATTGATAGGTATCAATTCCATATTATGAATAATCAGTAATGAGAAGTCAATACTGCTTAAAACCCTGTTGACATAAGGCACCATAGAACTCATTAGGCCACACACATGTCTCAATGGTTGAGAAGTTAAAGATATACAGTGTTTCAAAAACAAGATCATTTTGATAATTTTTTGGTTTCCGTGAACACTGTCGGTGTCTATATCGTGGAAACACAGCATTTTGTCTTGTATTGCATGAGAAAGTGCGACTTCCCATGCACAGATTTAGGCTATAAATGTCAACTGTACTCTCACCCTGACATCATGGTTTCTGATACCAAATGAGACGTTTCCTGACAGTAGCAGAGAGGGGTCAAGCAATTAGTCTCATGCAAGCTGGTCAAGGTCAACAAGCTGCAAATCACTTCAATGTGAGTCAAAGTGAGTGTCATTTGGAGACTGTGGCAAAGGTTTCAAGCCACGAGATCGATGGAATATGCGAGAAGACCAGGTCGACATAGAGTTGCCACTGCACGGCAAGAGAGGCACTTGGTTAACGTCGCCTTACGTAACTGATTCGTGATCACAAGTCCTTCAGACTGAACATTACAATGTTCATGGTGTCAGGATAAGCAAGAACACTATTCAACGCCGATTACGTGCCAATGGGCTCTGTTCATGGCGACCAGCAGTCCGTTCACCACTTCTGCAACGTCGCAGACATGCACGTTTAGCCTGGAGCAGACGTCACGGTCGTTGGAATCAATGTCAATGGTCGACCGTGCTCTTTACAGATGAAAGCCGGTTTAATTTGTCTTTTAATGATGGTCGTCGGAGAATATTCTGCAGAAGAGGTGAACGGTTCACTGATGCTACAGTTGTCACACACAATAGGTTTGGTGGCTGGTAACTCATGGTTTAGGCAGGTATCATGGCAACAGGAAGAACCCAGCATCACATTATAGATGGAAATTTGACTGGTCAGCGGTATCGAGATGAAATCTTGACCCCCATTGCTATTCCCTTTTTGCAAGCTATGCATGGATTTTATGGTCGTGATCCTCTTCTACAGGACGATAATGCCAGACCTCACAGAGCCAGGATAGTCACTGATTATCTTCAGCAACAGGGTGTGGAACGGATGGACTGGCCGGCATGTTCACCAGACCTCAATCCAATCGAGCATGCATGGGATAAACTTGGCATACTTATTTACAGACGTCACCCTGCTCCACAAGATCTACAGGGTCTTCGGAGAGCTCCTGTGCAAGAATGGGAGGCTGTTCCACAGGCATTCTTCATGAACTTGATCAGAAGCGTGAGGTCACGATGTAACTCTGTCCAGGACCAGAGAGGCAGCTACACAAAGTTGTTCCATGTTGGGGGAATACCTTTGTTTGATGTCCGTGCAGATACAGTCCTGATCCTTTTCTCACAGCATAGCACCGAACACTCTCCTCAAATAATAAACTATATCTTCTTTCTATAATCTTGTCAGAGCATTCTTTATTTTGCATTATATTACCTTATTGCTACATGACCCTTCAATAATGACACTGAGTATAGATGATATGGTAGTATTATATCATATATTGTATGTTTATTTACTACAGATCCTTACAGGACTGTACGGCTCGAGTGACTGCTGGATCTTGCAACCCCAGGTCCATACACCTGGTATGTGTTACTTATCTGGAGAGATTTCCGCCCTTAGCCCCCATTTTTTTATCATTCTATGACTAAGAATAGATTTTTTTTATAGAAAGCCTACCCTAATGCTAAATCTAAACCCTAACCCCTAGAAATAATCATAATAACTAGAATACATTTCAAGCGGGGTTACGGGCGGAACTCTTACCCTGTATCTTATCTCCCACATTAGTGTACCTATAATAGTGTAGATAACTATGTCTGGACTGAGTGAGTTTGGTTTTACGCCGCTTTTAGCATTATTCCAGCAACATCATGGCGGGGGACACCAGAAATGGGCTTCACACATTGTACCTATGTGGGGATCCAAACCTGGGTCTCCAGCGTGACGAGCCAACGCTTTAACCACTAGGCTACCCCACTGCCCCGGAAGTCATTATAGATGTATTATATAAATCCATGGTATTATTTATATGTGGTGATTTGACTGGATTTGATCTGTATTGTATGTTGTAAGCATGGCAGCATGTACTTGATACCATACCTGTGATGTACCACATGATGTACCACCAAGTCTTCATGTATGTAGTGTAATGATGCCACGATACATTGATACATCGATACTTTTTCTAAGAAGATACAATTATCAATACATTCAAAACTGTATCGATATTTAGTTTTGAAAGTATCTGTTTAAATGTGTTAAGGTATTGTTTACATTTTGCAATTGTATCATGTTTTTGGATGTTATGAGAGTTATAAATGATGGGGGGTGGGGTGGGTGGTGATGGTGATGATGATGATTTGTATGGAGAGGCATGTACAATGTGAATGAACCCCCCTAAAATTTATGTACAAAATCAGTGACCCCCCTCCCATATTTTTCAAGCATAATTTTAATTCTTTTAATGTACAAAATTGATGACACCCCCTACCTCCCCAGCTCAAAATGGGTGACCCCCTTAAAATCATCATCACCCCCCGGCTGGGACAAACAGTTTGTTCTGTCTGTCACTTTGTCATAAGCATGTTCGTCATAGTGAGTGAGTATGGTTTTACGCCACTTTTAGCAATATTCCAGCAACATCATGGCGGGGGACACCAGAAAAGGGCTTCACGTATTGTACCCATGTGGGGAATTGAACCAGGGCCTTTGGCTTAAAGAGCGAAAGCTTCAACCTCTGTGCTACCTAACCGCTCCAGAAATAGTTCCCAGAAAAACTATACTTTATTACATCATACACGGGGTAGAGTTAACTGTATTTCTTAAAGGAAGCGATCCATGATACTGTTGTTCATATTGGTGGACATGGTTCACTAAACAGAACAACTTCCATTTTGAATCAAGGGATGGACAGTTTGTCACTTTCTTCATGCCATGTTTTCCACAGATGCAAAACTAAACAATATTGCCCAATCTGTATTTAGAGTTAGATCTAGCTCCCTTTGAAACTCAAACAATATGCGGTTTTGTTGTAGTTTCTATCAGACAGCTGGAACTTCATGACGTGAATCATCCTACTAAATACAATATTCCATCAACAATTATGAGCCATTAAGCGGGTACGCTTTTCCCAATAAATTAGGGAAACATGTTATGATGTTCTATTATAGTAATGCCAGAAATGCTTGGAAAATGCATTTTGGCTTCAATATCAATATGATGAATTTGACACAAGATAAATGCACAGATATGATAAATGTACGACTTTACCTAGTTGGTTATGAAAGCTCAGATGAAAAAATTCACTTGAGGGGTGACTTCACAGGAGGAAATTTTGACATTTTAACAACATTCGTAAATATTCTAAGTACAAACTGTAGTTTTGAAGTACAGACTATAATTATTCATATAGCCTCAACTAATTAAATTACATAAATGATTGGAAAAAGTTGGGTTTTTTTTTATATCTATATGTAAAAAGGTGAAACTCTTGTAGTAGTTATATTCAAAATAATTACGTATAAAAGTCTTAATTCAAATCGCATAGATAATCTTGTTCTCCCATAGAAGTTTCACTTCGTGTATGAGCACTGAACTGGCAACATGCGACTTGATATCTCTGCAGTACAATTAATTTCAAATTTATACCAGTATTTCATACTGGAGAAACAAAGTGGGAAACCTTGTCAGCTATGTGTAAAGCCCTTAATTTGACATATAGTCAGGTTTACAAAGTTGTAAACAAATCAGTTACCTCAGGGGTCGTGTCAAAATCAAAACCAGGTAGGAAACACAAACTGGATAGCTTTGATAAGGGTGTCATACCACGTGCAGTTTATAAACTGTATGAACGCAAAATAAAACAGACATGTGCTAAAATACAAGAGGAGATCAAAGATACAATAAATGTCTCGAAAACAACACTTATTGTAGCTCTGGTAGAAATGGGGTTCAGGTACACCAAAAGGGGTGATGACAGAGCTGTGTTTAGAGAAAAGTACTCAATCCTGTCCATGCGATCAGCTTATCTCAGAACAGTTGAAGTATACCGCAATTTGGGGTTCAAATTATATACCTTGATGAAACCTGGTGTAATAAAAATCACTCAACCGATCGGATGTGGCTTCCTTCAGATTGTTCTAAGGCACCAGTGTTACCATCAGGCAAAGGTAGACACCTGATCACCTTGCATGCTGGTACCTGTAGCAAGGGACTGATTGGGGGTTGTGACTTAGTTTTTGAGGCCAAGAAATCTGATGGTGATTACCATAGTGAAATGAATGGATGAACCAAGCCTTATCATGTTGGATAACGCCAGTTACCATAACCTGCGTGTCCCTGGTACCATCACGCCCACCATTAGCAAGCTCAAGGCTCAGTTGCAGGATTTTCTCACTTCCTGTAACGTGCGTTACAGGCAATCAGAAACAAAGCCCCAGCTCATGGAAAAAATCCTGCAGCACAAAAAGCCAATCCAGTGCATCACTGTCGAACTAGCTGCAAAACAAGGCCACATAGTTCTCGGTACACCAGTACGGCACTGTGAGCTCAATCCCATCAAGCTGATCTGGGGTAACTGTAACAATTTTATTGCTCGCAATAATACTACATTCAAGCTTTCAGACGTTAAAGAGCTTGTGTATGCTTCTTTTGCAAGAATTACCCCAGAAGTGTGGCAAAAGGCTGAAGACCGTGTTCTCAAAATCGAGGACGAATACTGTCTGCGGGACAGCTCTAACGTCAGCCGAGTTGCAACTGTTGTAATTCCGCTCCCGTCCTCGACCAGCAGTGATACTGACACTTGATATTTTGAGACGGTCCCTTACATGCGTTACATGAATGCTGTCACCCTGTCCCCCTGCCAGGTGGGTCACAGTATTGTGTGTTTCTTAGAAGTGTTTCTACCAAGGAATATTTTCTAAGTTTTTCGGTATTTTACGAGTAATCATTATGATTAGGGAATAGCACATCATAATGACTCATATGCAATATTAGGTCGAGGTGGTATGAATGATTATATATGAGTTTTGAATCTGAAATATCAACCATTATCTTACCTTCATGTAAGATACTTTAATTTCATTGGTCAATGACGCTTTAACAAGTTTCCGTGTCACCCATACCAGGAGGGCGACAACTGGAAAAAATATTACCTGCTGCCATGGTAACCACTAAGCTCTCCGCCAAGAAGCTGGAGTGCTAACAATCGTATGACGTCATAATATGACGCATGCCGTGCCCATAGTTCGCAAAACCGTTCGATCAGCTGTTTCTGTGTTCCCTTTGTACAGATTTAATTTACCGACTTTCACTGCTTTATTTAAGCTATTTTATACATTGAGTGGTTTGCACACTCACCTTAAACATAATTAACAATTTTTATAGCAGTTTGAAGCTTGTCAGAATATGTTTCACTGATTTTAAAAATCCAGTCGACAGGCAGACGCCATTTTGTTTACATGTCATATAGTCGGTCGCGATCTTTAAATCAAATAAAGTGAAATTAAGAGGCATACATC